GGCGAATGGCCAGAGAGATCTTCCTCATTTCAGGATGGCTGTGGTTACTGTGAACAAGCAATATACACGCATATGTTGAGAACGCATCCGATCTCCTGATGGGTCACAACTGCGGTTCAAATCTAACACCAACTGTCCCCTAACTATGAGTGCTGATGAAAAGCAGTGACGTTTGTGAGTGTGCAGCTCTGATAGTCATAGATGTACAGATTGGTTAAACTGAGCTCCCTTTCATTCGTTTAATCAAAACTATTTAATTTATTTGAAAAATGGCAGTCAGGCAGGATGCAACAACCTGCACTCACATCAGCTGTGAGACAGCTTTAGCCGAGCAGCTGGTTAATGAATCGGGACCTGCCGGGTTGTAGTTAGACTCAACTCAAGGCTAAGTAATAACTCTGTATAAGTAGTGGTCTGTAGTTATTAACCAGGACCACTTATTGTTCAGACTAGGTACAACCTTAGCTAATCATTAGCCACACCCACACTCTACTAGATACAGGAAAATGAGCCAAAGTAACAGCAGGTTTATTGACTGCCTTTCATTAAAGTGGAGCTCAGAGAGTTTAGGCTCTGTGTAGCCAGGAGCCAACAGCTGCTATAGCACCAAATGCTTCAAGTCTGAACGTGGTGTTTTGTAGTGGTCACAGAGATGGATATATTCTGCTGTGTGGCGAATACCACAGCTTTCATCCCAAAGGCAAATTATCCAAAACATTTCATCCTACTGAGTATGAACCGACGTCAAGAACAAGACTGTGGAGCTTGTTAGTCTATCAGATGCTGGGTGATGCCTATATTACACCAGAGCAATGGGAAAGACATCCACTGCTAATAACAACACATTAACGATGTATATATCAAATCACGTTTGCAGCTGTGCAGCAAGTCTTACCTCAGAGCCACATCAAGAGGGATTGTCCTGAGAAGTTTACCATAAGCTTGCCTCACCCTCATGGCTGAGTGGACCAACTGCACTCTGCACACATCTGTACACCTAAGACACCCCCAACCCACAACACACAGACACACACAGAGGCTTTAATACAGGAGAACACACATTAGGCATCATGTGTTTCCATATACGTGCAGGTCAGAAGCAAGCCGTTCACCTCTGCAGCAGCTCAGTAGACAGTGATGAAGAAAGGACCTGTAGAGTGTGGCAGGTCTGGAGGCAGATACTCTGATCTTCATTCAGAGCTGTCCACAGAAAACGAGGACAGCATTAAACATCCTGCTCAGTGGTGAAACCTGAGTAAAGCACAATTCTGGAGCTTATTCTCACCGTTAGCCAGAATCCCTCTGCAGAACTTGTTGAAGGAGGGCAGGGAGAAGAGGGGGCTGTAGGTGTCCGACTTCTTCATCAGCAGAGAGATCTCCTGAGCCCAGGTGAGAAGCAGTTTCCTAACATACCAACATAAGACTGTTAAATAGCTGTATCCGATATGTTTCATATGCTGAATCTGGTTTACAGTCATCGTTAGACAGCTAATGAGTTATTTAGCTAAACAGTGAACATTTGGTGATAAAACACTGAGCTGTGTTTGGTTAAAAATGGGGAGAGAGAACCTGGCCTCGGGGTAAAGATGCTCCCGGGACAGCAGACCTCCGAGAAGACTCAGCAGTGTGCTGAAATGCTTCTTAGTTGCCGTGGTTACAGTGCTGATGACAGCACCATCAAACAGAGAGGGAGAAGACGACGACAAGCTGGATGAGATGAAGTGATCGTGCCTGCAAACAGAGACAGAGGAGGTCATCTGATTAGAGCAGCAGCCATAAAACAGAAGCATCGAGAGACACGAACCGTCCTTTCAGTTTGGACTGGGAGCCAAACCTTCACTCAAATAATCTTCAGTGACAGAGACAAACTTCTTCATTCAGCTAGTTTTACAACACCACCCATATAATATGAATCAGGTTTGGGTTTCCACTGTTACTGTTAGAATGACCCATGACGACCACGTGGACATCTGCTGCGTGTCCTCCGATGTGGTAACATTTCAACGCTTTAACTTGAAGGGTGGGTGTATGACGACACAGGCCCACCACAGCTGAAGCCTAAACTGCCACAGTAGACGTCCACACCAAACCTGGGTCACAGTCAAGAAACCAGTCGGTCTGAACAGGTAGGACGCTGCACCTGAGGGACATTCATCCATCCATTTTATTCCGCTTATGCGGGGGCCGGGTCGCGGGGGCAGCAGCCCAAGCAGAGAAGCCCAGACCTCCCTCTCCCCAGCCACCTCCTCCAGCTCATCCGGGGGAACACCAAGGCGTTCCCAGG